ACGGGTTTAACCCATCTATTGCCTACGTTACCGTTTCGTTCCCTGGCTACCTGCCACAGCTTCATCAGGATGGCACAGAACTTAAAACAAAGATAAAGTTGAGTAAGTTGCTACAGGTTGAATATTTTTGCTTTAAAAGTAACCTATTCGAGGAAACCCTAGACAAATACCGGTATTGAGGCCACATTAAAACAAATGTGTCAATAAAATTGAGAATTTCATTATGGTATTATTGTGATTACAGCCATCAACTGCCAAAAGTTTTAAGTAAAATATTATTTACCTTCACAAACAAACGTTAGAGACAAATGAGTTCCTCAGCAAGCCAAATTTTGTTCATAGGGCAAAATTTTCACCAAGTTTGAGGGCCTGATTTAGAAGCAGACTTCTCTTACCTCTTTCTTACTTTTCAACAGCGATTTACAACCCCCTAGTCATCACTTTGAGACAGAGCCAGAGCATTCGAAGCATTGGGCACAGATAAAATGAATTCCAAAGCAAAACAAAACAAAAAAACCCACAGAGGTGATGCTCTTCATCTACAACTGCTCTATTAAGTGCAGTGTTAAAACCGACCAACAAAATAATTGACTTGCAGGAAAAAAAAATAGAAAAATTCAGTGTTTACAGTGTTGTTTTTGTTCCCTTAAACCAGAAAGTCTCTCTCCAGTTCTTACAGAGTTTATTAATGCATTTTAGTTACGCTTCACCAGCACGCTCTTTAGTTTACCTTCTGTTTTAAATTCCACTTTACAATGCGTAATTGTAATGTCTAGCAAAAATGGCCATTGGAAATCATATCGTACCTTTAGTGACGTGCAAATCCATTTTTTTCCTAAACCATGACAGGCACTGATAGGATACTAGAATCGCACAAAAATACATCTTTAAAATTTGGCTTTATATTTTTAAAAAGTACTTTTTATACTTGGGAAAATGCTAATAATCTATAATAATGAAGCAAGAGCATAAAATGTCATACAAAAGTAGATAGGAAATGATTCTTCAGCATAAATCACTTATTCTGGTATGCAGTTTTCACCCTTGGAAAAAAACAAGAATGACGATTCAGACAAGCAATTTCATAATAAACTAATTCCACCTGGTATTTAGTCCCATGACAGACACCCATCCCAAACCCCACAGTGCTGATTCCACTTGGAAATAGCCAAAACAAAGAATTTGGCTTCCATGTTCTACAAGTTTTTGCTTGTCCTCTCCTTAAATAAAACCAGACAGATGGAGAAATCTTTGGGAATGAGGTAAAAACCAATACATCTGCGGTAGGGAATTTGGAACAAAATATATTGAAAAATTAATAAATCTACCAAAACCTAAGATTGAAACTAATATGTGAATAGGCAGCCTCCCAATGCGAGTTTTCTCCCAGTACAGACGGCATATACAGTAGAGTCCAAACTAGACTCATTCCTGGGGTTTTGGCTTTATGCAAAAGAGACCAATGTTAAGGTAGCAAAGCTTAGCTTGGGTCTCTTTCCCAGACTTGGCTGCTCTTACGGCAAATCTCTTAGGACTCCTGAGCGTTTGCCGCAGGCCTTTCCCTTTCTCGACAATTTTCGCTACCTTTTAACTAAATGAAGTACTGAGCCTTCTTCCTTACTGTGTGACAGCAGTCCACTCGTGGGCTGGAAAGGACAGGGCTGCAGCCTACTCAGCTGGGATGCGCTGAAGCACTTGATAGATGGTGTTAGGAAAAGGCACGTGGAAGAGAACACACACCTTCCCCCTGCTCCTCCGCTCCTTCTCAGGAGGATGGCCGTCTATTCGTAGTGAAAGGCTGAAGGGCAGATGTTGCTAAGCTGTCACATTGTGGTTGTAGTTAACATTTCAGCTAAAGTGCATAAACACAACTTAATAGAAGGACTAAAATTGCACAAGCGCTCCTATAAGAAACCTTTGACTGCTGTTCTACACCCTGTACAACATGCAGTTCTCCGTCTGGCTAGAGAGCGTACTGCAAGGAGGAAGGCAGAGGAAGGTAAAATGAGAAGCGGCGGCAGCACGGTCTTTATCGTTAATTGGCGTAAGACTATTGTAAGCACGCGCATCTATACTAGAATCACATCTTCATTTGGCTGTATAGATGTACCCTATAAATGTAAAGCCAGTCCAAGGTCTTTGTTGTTATAATCTTTAACAGGCTACAGACGAATACAGACTGTTTGGTGACTACTGCAGTGCAAATTCCCTGTAGCCCTACATACATAAGCCACAGTTTAGTTATAAAGTGCACATTAAAAGCTTCGTTCTCTCTCTCTCTCCTTCAAGTGTGTATGGAGCTCCCCGTTAAGGATGTTTACATTACAAGATCAGTGCAAAGGAAGCTTTAAAGAAGCTATCAAGAGTTTTAGCCCATGATTATTACACTTTCCAGCCTTACAGCAAAGCATTTGGGATGATTTTAGGAGGTTATGGGTTGAGGGAGTTCGCCAAGTGGCTGGCTGGGTAGAGAAAATGTGCTGGGGAATAGTGCATTCAGTGGGATGATTTTAGGAGGTTATGGGTTGAGGGAGTTCGCCAAGTGGCTGGCTGGGTAGGGAAAATGTGCTGGGGAATAGTGGATTCAGCAGGAAGGGGAAGTTACCCCATATGTGACTTAGGGTTACAGCACACATTGAACAGTATATGTTCCCTGGTGACATACACTTCCTCACTCTGCCGATGAGACTATGATCTCTTAATAGGATTACAAAGGGGAGCTGAATTCATTCCTATTTTTTTACACTAACGCAAGACAGCGAAGAATGAACTATCTTCAAACTAATGACCAAGTAAACAAGCCCATTTGAGCAACATTGTTCAACTAATTTTAAAAGTTTATTACCTTTACTGTGCAGTAATTGCCTGCTGAGGAATTATCTTTCAGTCTCTAAATAATGTTTTGTACTTATTGCTCTGTTACTCACTTTCAAGAAAGATGGGGTTTGCAGTACAAAGGTAGATCCATACTAGTTAAAATTCTTTAATCAAAATTAAGGATTATACATATAAGGAAGCTTCTTCCCCTTTACTGTTTAACCATTTTTATTTGCTCTGTCTCAATACATTGGATACTGTTTAAGCCATTGTTCAAATAGTACTCAAAAGCCATTTCATAAACAACAGAATATTTAGGAGATCATTGAAAAGGTAAAAGTGATAAAGTAACTAACCAAGAACTGGAGGACTGAATTTAAATCCAAATGGTACCAAATAAAAGGAGGGAGCACTTTGAAAAATAAATGCAAGTGCCGAGTCCTTCAGTTACAGGCTTTACATTGTTATGAAGAGTATCAAGAATAATTTATTCATCGGAAATAATCTTGTATCTCAAGACTTGACTTTCTCGAGATTAATTTTTGCTGCTGAAATCTGGAGTGTTGGGTGTGTACATGTGAAAGAATATGGTGGTGGTCCTGGGCATAGGTTGAAACCCAGCAACTGGTTGTATAAAGTCACTTTATTCAAGGTTGCAGAAAATAGTATTTTCTCTGTGCAAAGTCACATAATGCATATGTTTTTAAACATCCATCTGCATTTCTTTTCTGTTTTTGACATTCACAGCCTTTTAGTCTTGTCCTTCACAAGGGAAGAATCAAGTTTAGGCTGCAGACTTCAGTGTTGCTTCCAGTGACGTTGTTATGACAGTATTCCCAGTAGAGGACTGCATTTGGTTTTGAAAATAGATCATCCTCATTAATATATTTTAATTTAATAAGATATCAGAAATGTGATGATTTTATTTGAATGATTCTTTATACCATACTTGGAATATTTAAGTCCTCTATCTTTGCTTTGTTAAAAACTGGTATTGTTGAATAACTGATGCATTTTCCCAAAGAAGTGTTCAACTTGCATAGTTCAGAATCCTGTAATTACTTATGCACCTTGTTAAGAATTCAAACACTTCCCTTGCAACCACACAGGGAAGGATAGGCTGGATCAGAGCCTTTACTATATATTCTTGATTTCTAGGAGCACTCCCATAATTCACTAATGCAGGTTTTTCACAGGAAAAAAAAAAAGCTTTTTTTTTTTCCCCACAGTATTATCTATCTGAAATGCAAAGGTACAAAAACATTTTAACCACCCGTTCAGTAAGTATTGATTTAGTTTTTACCCAAGTTTTTTGTTCTTCAAGAAAAAGAAATCAAGGTATGAAATCCTATTGATTGAACTGCTGAACTCATTGGCAAAATTCTCATTGGCTTTAATATAAGTCAGGATTTCACTAGGAACATTTATGTACATAGAGTGACTATTTCTAGTAGTCTGGATATGTACTGGGCACTGTCAAAATAAAAAACAACACAGAATCAGCCGTGCAAAACTATCAGAAATTGGCTATACTGTCACACAACATTTTTAGCTTTCCAGTCACGCACACATGCTCTCACTGCTTTTTCCCCTAAATAAACAAACTGTAAAGAAAAGCTCAGAAAATACAAACCAGTACCCTTGTAAGGGTTGTATGTAAAAAAACATATATATAATACATTTAATATAAGAATCTATAATATATTCTTTCTCCTCAGTCCTCCCTCAGGCATGACTGAAGTCAAGGATGGAGAATAAACTGATTACTCAGTAATTCTTGAGAACCTTGAAATAAACTTTATAAATTTTATACTATTTATTATTGTTGATGCTTTAATACTGAACGTTCTGAAACAAATCCAATATACATTGATGCCTATGTCTGGATTCATATGCTCTCTTGCACTTTACAGAGATAGCTTTCATTAACAGTGAAATAAAACCTATGCTGTTTTTATTCAGTGGGCTTTGGCCACTCTGTTCCCCTCGTCCCTCTATGTGTCAGTTGTAAACTGCTTGACAAATAACTCTGTTCCATGCTTCCCCACTGCTGGCATGTAACTTCTTTACAGACTCAAAAGAGAAAGGCCAAGCAGGCAACAGACAGGTGATAAAGCAAATGGGTCAGTCTCCTGTTGAACTTGCTCAGATTAAGAGGCACTAAGACTGTGTTCTTTCTTCAGAGTGCAGGTGGGGAGGCCATGAATGAAAATAAATTTCTGAACACAGACTCCAGCACAGGATCAGTGGAAGCAACCGTCAAGCCATTGCCATTTAAAGATCCAAACTTCATCGTAAGTATATTATTGTTACCTTTTGGCATTCTAAACTCTTCAAATAAAAGCCTAACTTAATCATATTGCTAATGTAAATATTAAGCAAGTCAGCTTAACAGCCAAATAAAAGGTCAGCAGTTTTAATAAATTCACTCAAGTCCATGTCACGTTATGGTCCAAAGTGCACAGTATAATATAACATGAAAATGGCACTGGACCAGGGGCAGAACTGTAATACTAAATTCTGGAACAGAGCCAGAGAACCTGGTAGACCGAGGTATGTGTAGAAGTTTTATGGTGCAATATATCACAAACTACTATAGCTAGAAAGGAACAATTTATACTACTATAAAAGTAGAAATCCCATCTCCTAGTTCTTAGCCAAGGCAGGTTGCAAAATAATTGAACTAAAAATCAGCTACATAGTCATTAGCAGCTGGCGTTTTGCTCCTCTCCTAGTCCCTGAAAATCTAACAGACCTTTGGTGCCTGTTCTTTCAATAATTGCTAGATTTAGAAGCAAATGCTCTGTACGCCTCAGAAACGTCTCCTTCCAGCGTTCAGAAGTCGTGTAAACTCTGACAGCTGACGAAATACAGGCTGCTAAAACAATGTGAGGTCTAAAGTGGGGGAGAAGCTGAAGGAAGACTAGAGCTAATAGTGCAGTCATTGTTGGATTTGTCTTTAATATTTTTTTTAACTTGCCTTGCTAGGGCCAACTCCTTGGCACACTGTACAAATGCTCTCCAGACCAGTAAACTCCTCAGACTGCTGGTCCTAAGTCAGTAGTTAGAAAGAAGGATTTTATCCCAGATTTCATTTTGTATGAATAAGAAACAATATCCCTGAACAACTTATCAGGCTTTAGGTACTTCACTAAGCAAGGGTTTGGCAGGGGGTATAAAATTCACCTCCAACCGGCAAGTTGGAAGACTTCTTCTGTCACGAGAGGAGCATTCAAACTATTGCATACTTTGCTCACTCTAATTCTCCAGGGAGGACCAGCCTCTTTGGGGAACACGACTTATGGAAAAGCTCATCTGTGCCCAGAGGCAGTCCATGTCGCTTCCGTATAGGATTTAAATAGCCATCAGGCCTTATGCTCATTTCTGAGGGACATCGCCATTTCCAGCGAGGCAACACTGCCTGCGTACTTGAAATAACAATGAACGTACAGAGCCTTTGACGACTGTTCTAGTAATAATAAGCAGTTATAATAAAAACTTGACCATAAATTGTCCTCTACAATACAATAACTAATCTGAAAAGAAGCGTGTTGAGATTTAACTAGTTTTTTGTCTGCAGGAACTGCTAGTAACAATTGTGATGACTTTTTGCATCCCTCCAGCCTAATTTGCCTTAAAAGGAAGAAATGAAAACAAATAGTGTGTATCTCTGTTAGCTCCTTGCAGAGGATAGATTTTCTTTTTTTTGGATCTACTTTAAAAACAGATAATAAGGAAGAAATCACCTTTTTCTAAGCAGCGTTACCTGACTGGAAGTCACATCCCTTGGTGGAGGGGCAGAGTACCTTCCGACAACCAGGCAGAGCCAGGAATAGCTCTACCCAGAGCTTTCCCTAAACCTCCCCAGGGCAGAGGTAATTTGGTTCGTTTGCACTTGGCCGTTGTTGCCCTTTGATTGTAGGTATGTGAGCTAAGACTCAGCGCCGTTCCTTGGGGGCATACGTGCATAGAAACCCCACGGTTGACAGTCCTGGGCTTAAGAAATAACTGCAGCAAAGTATTCCTTTTACCTGCTAAATGGAGACACCCACACTAAATAAAGGAGCAAAGCACATGCTATCAAGGCCTCTAATAAACATTTCCTGACAATAAAATTTCAACTCTGGAACCCCTGTGGAAAGAGGCCACCAAACTGAGAGGGGCCTCCTGCTGCTTCGTCTCAGGGAACAGCTCCCAAGTCAGGGTCTGCCTTTAGGAAACCCCGGGTACAGCTGCTTGCATCCCCTGCCTTCAGAAAACCCAGCGTGTCGCTGCTCGAGTCCCCTGCCTTGAGAAAACGCGCAGCACTAAATTGAACTGTGGAGTGCCGCAAACATAATGTGAACAGTCTAGCGTGGTAATTTCCACGTACTTAATCACGTATCTCATTTTGTTTTCATTTAACTTCAAATGTTTGTTAGAGCCACACATTTAACTAAAATATAGTAGGAAATACAGTAGCTACAACTTTTGATCATGCTTCCTTTTTTATCTGCCTCTCCCATTCCCCTAAACGGACACACAGACCCGTAGGTAGCTTTTTCTGTAAATAGTCATTTCTAGTATACTGTACAGAGGACAATACTGACTTTTTCTCATTATTAAAACAAGGAGAATCAAACTGGTAGCAAAAACTTTGTGTTTGATTCATGGCTTACTGAAGTCAAGTGAACTCTTCTTCTCAGCTTCATTTGGCTTCAGATCAAGCCATAAGTGTCAGTTTTTGAGAAAACAGATTACTGTTAAAAAAAAAAAATCATGCAAGGATATGGGGAAAATTCATGTAATGGACTTGGATTAGAAATGTGGTAGTACATCTATTTTCATCCCATATTCCAGCACACTCTCTTTTACAATGACCTCTAGATCACTTGGGTGTTACTCTCATAGCAAAAGTTTTGACGTACTTTCTATATTGGATATTCATTGCCAGAAAAGTTGATATATGATCAGTTCACAAGCATCCTTCTGAATATGATATATTAGATTATTTGTATAGAGAAAAATCTTTCTCATTGAATCCTTCCTCCTATCATTATCAACTGCTTTACATGCTAATTTATAAAACAATCACAGCAGAAGTGTGTTTGCAGAATTTTGCCAAGTTTTGATAGGACTGATGTGGCAGGTAGTAATTATTAACAGAGATAACAAGAACTCCCCAGTTGTAAGAACATTTTCTTTTCTAAAGTAAAGCTGAACAACCGTGTCCTTTGATCATTTAGAAGTAGTACAGTATGTTGTGCATCTTCTGCCTCTGGAGGGACATACATAAATGACTCCATAGCAATCACATTTGATAACTGAAATCACCATTATATCCTCTGTAGCAAGCCTTCCGTTAGTGTAGCTTTCAAAATGCAAAAGTGTCTTGCCAGCCAGCATTCTCTAATTCTTTTTCTATTCTTCTGTCTTCTGTCATTTGGAAGAAAACCAAAATTTCCAGAAAACTTCCTATAGTACTCACTACGTTTTGTAAGATCAGTTGTCTTTTCTACAGCCACAGATAGCATAAAAGAGAGAGAGCTGCACCTCCAATTTTCTATATGCCATAAAAAGGAGAGAGAGAATTTAGCCATGTAATTGCAATTTTAGACACAACTTCACAGCAATAAGTTCTAATATGATGGGAAGTGCACACAGAATCCTGTAATCTCAGACTAAACCTAACCACATTAATTTTCTATTTCCATGTAAAAAGCAGATTTTCATTTCCTTCAGTTAATCCAAAACATAGTAGCTTTGACACAGTCCAAAACGCTTTGTTTCTCTTACAACCAAGATTACAGTGTACAGTATGTTAGTCTACTGACTAAATAAGTGGGGATAACAAATGGTTCATGACAAGATGAGACAGATCAGAAAGACTATGAAATAAAAGTGTCACATTCTGAAATAGTGATCTTTATTTATTTTTCCTTTAAACGTTGTGTTTTTAATTCTAGCACTCCGGCATTGGTGGAGCAGCAGCTGGCAAGAAGAACAGAACTTGGAAGAACCTAAAACAAATTCTTGCTTCTGAAAGGGCATTGCCATGGCAACTAAATGATCCTAGCTGTAAGCTGCTTAGACGCTTTGCATTTATTTATAAATAATAAAATCCACACAAATAACTGCCCTTAAAACAAACCCAAATCATTTTATCAGTATATGCAGTATCCTACTTTAACAAGAGTCCACTAATACATTTAAGATGAGTTCAACTACAGTGACCAGCACTAAATGGAAAGTAAGGGGAAGCAAATGATTTGGTGTGTTTTATGAAAGTTCAAATACATTTGTGGAGAGAATTTAATGAAGGAAATATATTTATCAGAACCAAGTCATAAATAGCTTATTCCCATGAAGTTTTTGTCACCTCTGCACTGCTGAGGAGCCTCCTCCCCTGCGTATAGCCTTCACATCTCCTGTACTGCGGTGGCTGTTGCTTGATTAGCTATATGTGAACTGTTTTCAAGGGAGATTCAGCTAGCCACATACCCACAGTAGCTCAGCCCTCAGCCCACGCTTCCTGTCCAGCTCCTTATCTGAGATTCTTGGGAGACTTTAATCCTACATCCCATATTTAGTTCAGCATAGCAGAAATTGCACTCCCGATGTACAGCTAGCTTGTGTACATCCACAGGAGCAGAGTTACAGCAGTGTTTCTAGTCTAGATGTATCCAAGACTGCTCATAAAGTAGGGTACTGTTCAACATAGCTAGAGGAAGAATCTGATTCCTGGATTTTGCTTAAGCAATTGGAGGCATCTTAGAATTGAGCATACACATATACTTTTTGTCAGATTTGGTGTTTGATCCAAAAATACCTTGCCATTTTTGTAAGTGTTTTAGACACCACTATTACAGAAAAATGCAGACTACTGTGTGTTCCTGGCTATTGTAACTGACAATCTGCTGATGTTGCTATTTCCATTACATTCTATTTGCAACAGTAAATTTACAGTCTATTTTTAAGAGGGTGGGAAAACAAATTCAATTGCATATTTAAAAACAGCTGTCTGTGGCATTTGTGTCTTTTGAATTAAGGGATTATGATTTAGACACTTGATATGGATGCAGCATTTCAGTTTATCATAAAATCTGAATCAGGTACAAAGGAGAGCAGGAAGGAGGAAATACATGAGGCAGGCACAACATAGTTTTGTGAACGTTACAAAATCGGGGATTTAACTACTGAAACATACCACTTTCATCTTAAAAAAGCAAATGAGAGTAATTGCTATTTGTATCTAGAGGACATGAAAGAACAGCAATTGCCATCATTTAATGTTAACTTTCAGATAATATTCTAGGTCATTGACCAGGCTTAAAGTGGTACATGCTTAAAGATTTATCTGATTTAAAAGATTACTTTGCTCTCCTGGATTACGGTATTTCAGAGCTGCAGTCTTGAGCATGTCTCGTGGTCATAACATTCAGTATGCATATGCTAATGGCTATTCTTTGCAAATAACACTAACTGCAAGGGAAGTTGTCATTAAGGCTTACAGCAAATCAATGCATTTATAGCACAGTTCAAATAGCTCTCTTGATTTTTTCCTTTTGGGGAGAGCAGCTCTGCTTACTGAACTCTTATTAGTCAGGGGAGCAGAATCAGGCTGTTAGTTACAATGCTAGCAGGTTAAATGTTTTCAGAGGTAATTCAGCTTCATGTTTATTGCCTCAGCGCTGCTAGTTAATAGAGACCTCAGAAAATAAAGGCAGCATTTTAAAGAAGTATTTGTTACCTCCTTACATTTTGGGTTTGCTTTTTAGAATATATATGACGCTCTAAACTTATCTCTTTGTTTCTCCCGAGATTTTAGTATTGATGCTCCTCCCTCCTTTAAGCCTGCCAAGAAGTATTCAGACATTTCAGGACTTCCGGTAAGTATTTTATTTTTCTCAAAGCTGGCATCTCACTTCCCACAACAAAATAAAGCTGGTGCTTGCCTTGTAAAAGATGTACTTGCTGAGGCTGCAATTCAGCATTATGCTTAACAGTGGTCCAATGATTCAGGGCCATACTGTCTTAATACTGTCTTTATATCACAAAGCCCTCAGGATCTTAATAGATGCCAGGACAGATTAAACACCTCGTCCTGCCAGGTGGCTTGTATCACACCACTTTCCCAGCTGCAGGGTCTGTGTTGTTCCCCATCATTCTTGATTCTCTAGCATTACAGTGGGAGCTAGTGGCCTGTACTTTCCATCACTTCCAGCTTCGCCAAACTTTAACCACAGAGACTGAAACTTTCCATGCTGAGTGTTTGCCTGAGGCTGATTTTTTTCATTGTATCTTTGAAGGAAAGTTTTTTCGAAAAGATGGTTCAGCAGTTTCCAAGAATGAGATTAAGCAAAACTATATTGATTGGCCCATGTTAAAAAAAAATCTTTTAGTCATTGCTCTCAAACTTTCCCTCAAACAAATCAGCCTGAGACAGACACTTGGCATGTATATTTAAGAATCTCAGATACCCCCATGCTTCAGAGCAGGAACTTGGCATTTTGGCAGATGCATAGCCTGTGTGTCACGGATAGGCTCTTTAACATGGTTTTGTTAAAAAAAGAAAAATAGTGGCTTAGCCTTTGAAAGATCTTGGTTTGCACATGCTCAAAAAAAATCTCAGTAGTTATGGTTTGGCACCTGAGTTCCACAAAGATTCTGTTGGCACAAAACACGCATAAAGTCATTGAATTCTGCCCGTCAAAAATGTTGCTGCTGCTGCTGCCGCCACTGTTCCCATGTGACATGAAAATTTTCACTTAAAATAGGGGTTAGTAACAGCATAACCCCTCACTTTATAGATCCTAGTGATTTATTTTGTAGACATATATGCATTTATTACAATTGAAATGAATGGGAATGTTGTATTTTGGACTATTAAAAGGGCTAAGTAGCGTTTATACTAAATCACTACAAGGATGAAAACTTTGTTATCTCAGATTGCCCCAAGCAGAATTTCTGGGTCCCTCCTCCCAGTTTATCTGCTTCTCATCTGTAGGGCACTCTCCCACCTCTCAGGGATAACACCACCTCATAGAGATATCTGTTAATATACACGCGGTTATGCTGATGCAGGTTAACACAGAAAAGCTTATCAGAAAGCCAACAATTCTATCTTCACAGTGAGATCTGAGCAATGTGCCTCAAATAGGAGCATTCAATATATGGCATCTGTTGGGATAAAAGAGAGGATTAAACATCTCACTTAGCAAGCATCATGTATTCTGTGCACTGAATGAAGTGAAAGTCCCTGTTGGGAAAACTATGGGTGAACACTTAATTAAGGACAGCCTTATAGTGGATACACGGTGCAAGGGATCAGAGAATGGCTACAGAGGCAGCTGTAATCCTGCACGTCCTAAGGCTTGAGTTCTTGATTTGACAACATGTATTTTCTTTGACTTTCTTATTTTTGAAGTAATACATTTATATAAGGCATCTGGGAGACGGCACGTTCCCAGCCTGCGCCACTGAGCATGATTTGGAAATGGAACGGGTTGCTCAAACCCAGACGGGTAACCCACAGTGTTGACGAAGGAACGGGAAAGCAGTAGCTCCCTCACAGATGAGCTGGGAAACAGAAAATGGGGTAGATAGCTCATAAATGCAGTGAAAATAATTCCCTCCAGCCAGCCAGACCCATAGTGTTGAACTCCTAAGAGTATTATTTTGTAATAACAACATCCCATTTTCAGACAAGGAGCAGGGGTCAGTTGAATAAGGCAATCTGCATTCAGTGTAAGGATGCAATGGCTGGCAGAAGGAGAAAGGGGTGGACAAGTGAAATAACAAGTAGATTTTAGCAAAATGTCAATAAATTCACAAAATGATAGTCATCCTCATCCATTTCCTATCCTCCTCCCTTAGAGTCGCTTTGCAAGTATTAATGAAACTCACAACAGGTGTTACTAGAGTAGCAGCAACACCTCTGACCCTCCAAAGGACTTTTGTGGGGCAGGAGGCATAAGGGTATAAGTACTTTTCACTGCCCCCTGTCTAAGGAACCAAACAATTCTGTACAGAGCTGGCCTTCAACACATATCAAAACTGGTCACTCACTGCACCTATAACAAGATGGTGGTGCAGGGCAAAATGTAAGTGAAGGTTGCGTCTGCACCAGCTAAGGGTCGGTTTAGCCATAGGAAATAGTGTTCCTGCCAGCTCCTCAGTTCTTCTTTTCTTGCTCCTCCTTTGCATCAGTGATTTATATAGTTACTATTCTAGCTCCGTATAAATAATCTCCTTTCACTGAAGATTCCACTCAGCACTACTTCTGTTTCTTTTTTTGTCTTTCCACTTTCAGCTTTTTTTTAATTTTCTCTCTTCTAAATCTACCTTGGGACAAGTTTCCAATTTTACCTGGCCTGTGAGGTTTCTCCAGACTATGATAAAAATACCATGTTTAAAAAAGTCGTTATTAAGATAACTGAGATGGCTTGTCCTTTAAATTGCTACCCCAGAAGTGTTTGATAGGAAGCACTAAGTTTATTTTCAGGATCATTTCCCATTAGAAAGATGCATGGGGTAAAATAATATTTTAGAAATCTAATAAGAAAAAAATCTATGCATTTTCTATGTGAAATCTGAAAGCATCTGTGCAAGAATACATTTCCTATGAGAATACTGGATTCCCCATGAAAAAAAGTAAAATAAATTCCTTAGCATTACCCTTTTAGGGAAGAATTAAGTAATCATCTAGTGCATTAAAAAAAAGAAAAGAGAGAGAGAGAAGTTTATTAAAACACTCATCACTATATCTACAGTTATATTAACTGCCACAGTTAAAGTCTATTGATCCTCTTCTCTTTCTGTGTGGTAAAACAAATGGAATTAAATTCACCCATGGTCTAAGCAGAGAAGCCAATTTATATTTGTAAGGCAGCTCAGAATTCAAAAGCTATTATTTATGTATGACATTGACATTGTAAAATAAAAGTATTACTTCCAAACTTGCAAGATGAGTATTTAGATATACTGACATGCAAAACAAAGCAATTTAATCTAACAAAGATTAAAACAAACTTCAAATGTTTAAATTTGTCTTCCTTTCCTGAAAACAGAACAGCCTTGTTACTACAGGAACATACTGAGATAACTAACTTACTGTATTTGAAGAGCACGTATCTGTGGCCTTTGACTTAGTCTCTGAATATGAGAAACTCTGCATTACTTCACTTTTCTGATCTGTTTTAATTATTGCCAAGGTAGCGGTGAAGTTTTCAGACTGAAATCATAGCATAAACTACTGAATCTCACTATCATAACTCTATATTAGTTCTGATACAGTAGTGCCTACAAAGGTCTTAATGGTACTGCCTGATGTGAAGTGTGAGACTGGTAAAGAAACGCCACAACTCTTCTAGCCTAGATTGGCGCACAACACACAACTGTAGGTATTGTGTGGCTAGCTGATTACAGAATCATGCCTGCTTGAAAAGCAGTCTACTTCTTTAGGTTTTCCTTAGAGGTATGAGGCCAGAGTGTGAAATAAAGCGTGAAATAAAAATATTTTTATACCTGGTGTAACTGTAAAGTGGTGGCTGGACTGTTAGTTGGCTACATTAAATTACTATTGCAGCATTTCTTTGTAGAGAAATAAGCTACAAATACTCAAATTTTCTGCTACATCTTACCAGACCAGGCAATTAACTGGATTGAAACACAACAAAAAAGTTCTAAGTTGTTTTACCACGGACAACAGATCCTTTCCAATATAAAAATGGAAGAGGGCTCAACACTTTAAGACTACAGATGGAGGGAATGCTGCAGGTCTTCCTGGCCTTTTCTTTTTAGCAGCAGTGTCTTAAGGGATCTAAACTGCCTGCGCCTCGCAGCCTGCCACCATCTCCTCTTAAGGAAACAAAAATAAGAACCTTTTTTAGAGCATTGGCAGCTCTGAAAGCATCACGGTATACTAGAAGCATCACGATTGTCTGCTGGAGGCTAAAGGTGGAGAGGTGGATGCCCTCAAGGCTGCCTTCTTCCAGCCCCGCTCCTGGGTTGCCCCCCTAGCTAGTCCGAGCTCAAGGTTTCTGTGGCAACAGGGAAGGGGGGGAATGGAAGGACACTGGCCCCGCTCCCAGGCACCCCAGAGCCAAACAGAGCAAGGGATATAAGCCCAGCCTGGGGTTAACTGGCCAGGCTACTAGCCTGAGAGCAGAAATCTGAAGCAAAGCGAATCGTCAAGTTCAAATTTCTTATCAGTTCAGTCACAGAATCATAAGCTGAGACTCCTTTGCTTTAATAACCACTTTAAAGTAAATTAAAAGCTAAGTTGTATGCAGGAAGAGAAAAATCAGTCCAAAGCCATCAGAGCACCCATAATTCAGCCTCTTTGCGGGTAATTTATTGGCAGCAGCCTGAGTCTTTGGAGAGCTGCCTTGTGAGAGACTGCACAAGACACAGAGTTGCTAGGGTGAGTTTAGAGAGTTGTGGAATTTCTTTTGCACTGCATTTGGTCTGAAACTGTTTTAGCCCTCTGTTGGGTTTAATGCATTTCAAATGTAATTTTATAGGGGTCTGTTAACTTCTCATAAGCTCTGACACACAAAGAGAAAGAAAAAAAGTACTAACATGGTCACATGGTAGAACAGCAGTACTGTTACCAGGAAAAGAAACAAAAAATTTGTTGGTCTTGTAATTAGACACTTTTTTTGTGTTCTGTTTTGAGACTTTCTTTGAATAGTGTCTTTGCCATTGTTTCTTTTTCAGGCAAATTATACAGATCCCCAAAGCAAGCTGAGATTTAGTACTACTGAAGAATTTGCCTATATTCGGATGCTCCCTTCAGACGTGGTTACAGGATACCTTGCTTTAAGGAAAGCAACAAGTATTGTTTCCTGAAGAGACCAAATGCTGTTGTATATCACTTGTGACCAGTGCTAATTCTCAGAATCACGATGGAAACTGACTGCGGGATTGAGGTTCCTTAAAAATATTCATTCATATCTACATCTGGAAGTAGTTGATGATACATGAATTTAAAAGAACATACGGTTTGGATAAATACTGATATTTGTTAGTTTGCCAACTTGTAAGTAATTTGGTTTGGTCAACAAAATAACTTAAACGTTAAGGATATGGTCCTGCATCCTAACACACGAGTTATATTAATTTCAGTAGGGCCAAGATTTCACACCCACCCTGTATATTTTACGTACTACTGTGGTTCAGAAGAGGAAAAAGTCATCTGAATAAAGGAAAAGGTACCAAGATATGCCAGCTTCTAAACCTGCCATGCAAACACGCTTGCTGCTTGGCTATGGAGAAGTTTTCCCCACCTGTAAAATGAAGCTAAAACACTAAGTGCTGCTATTGTGATGAGTGATGATGGTCTTAAGCATTGTGGAAATGAACACCTTCATACAGATATTTAAACTGCAAGAGCTGTCAGCATAAATAAAGTTGGACTCAAACTTGTTTGAGTAAACCATCCTAATGAATATGCATAAAGGGACCAATTCAAAAGGTAACTCTAATGTGACACAAACTTTCAAGTGCTTCATTTTACAACCTGAAGTTTCTTCTACCTCTGCTTTCTTGTACTAATTTCCAGGATTTCTAAATAAGCATGCTAAAAAGGCAAGAATTCCACTATGCAATGACATTCTGCCACCCAAATGGTCTTCAGCAAGGCAAGACCTCTTTGGTCTGTACACTGTGAGGTACCTGAAGAGTGACCGATAGCAACTGAACACTGTCATCCTTTAGAGGAAGGAGAACAAAGGAGAATTTAGACCCCTATCTAGGGAGTTGAGAAGTACTTGCTGAAGTAGACTGATTTCTGAAAATTCTGCTGAGGAGGAAGCGGGCAACGTTTTTCTGCCGTTCTTTCTTTTCGTCCTCTTCCTTTCGACAGGTCACTGATTTGTTTTCGTCCCACTTCCGTGCCTTTGTCCCAGCCTTAGCTGCCTGTCAAGTTTTAATTTCTTCATCTGGACACCAAGTGCAGTATCAGCCATTCCCAGCCTCCAGCCACACGGTCTGTGCCAGTTCACTGCCATTCTCCATAGCTATGGCACTTACCCTACTTAACTCTCTGAGCCAGTGGGCATTGGCCAGAAGGGGCACGAGGCAAGTTACCAGTTGTTGTGGGAACGCTGTCTTCTGCGCATGCAAAACTACCAATGGCTTAATAGAAGTCTTGTCCCATAGCTTTTTAACTACTAGATTGTCCTGGTTACTGAGGAGCTGGGCCACTGAGCACTAGTTAACACAGCAGTCCTCATCTCATCCCAGCTCTACGGACATTGTCATGTTGTGGAAATCACATCTTCTCCGAGCACACAAGAAGCACACAGCGGCAACTAGTTAATGTCTAAGCTGCATCTTGAATGTACATTTCTATAGAAATGATAATTAGTACAGATTTCTTCTCATTGAACGAATGAATATGCAGAGTACTATTAATGCTAGTTTAATTTCAACTCCAAAACAGGGGGAAAAAAAAAAAAAAACACCCTCTTAATAATGGGACACATTGTTTACTCAATGTATCTGGGACTCATTCCTGAGCTTTGGTGATCTAATATTTACAAAGTAATTTTAAAAGTCTTTGACAGGCTTACAATAGATCCTTCAAAGCCCTGGATAGCAGATAATGCTACAACTGTATCACAGAACAAAAAATAATAAGACAGACTATCTCTCCTCGTGCCAGTAAGCATCCAAGCTACATTCGCTTTGCATCCGAGTTTTAGATAAATGTTTTTCATTTACTTTATGTACTGAAAACATGTTTATAAGATAAGCTTAACTTTGATATGAAAAGAAAACACGTATAACTGCTGTAAGATTCATTTTGCTTTAAATAAGTAGACAGCAGCACAAAAAATTGGATTTCGCCAGCTTGTTCTCTCCCACAAATATTTTTAACATTCTTCGGGAATGACTGTTTAGGAAGCCAGGCTCAGAGGTGCTCATATAGGTTCCATGCCCTCCTGCGTGCTATGTTGTTACTTTTCTCAGCTAATTTCTGCTGTGCAGTATTTATTCATCCAGTTTTCAGAACCTGTGTGTCTTACTGAATAAAAGGAAAGCAGGAAAGTACACACAGAGTTAGAATTGGCAAAAATGCTAATGGATACTCTCAATACTTTCTATCCATGCAACGGCTGCTAGATTCCCCTTTTCCTTCCTTGCTTTTCCCTTTGTTAGTTACTAGCTTCCCCGGCCCCCTTAGTCTGTAGTGCCTCACTTGAGAATCAGCCACTGGAATCATTCAACATTACATCGAACAACACCAGTTTACTGTGTGGAACAATCAAGATGTATTTGCTTTAGCAGGAAGCGGAGGACAGAAAAGATCTAGTAGCCAACACATACAACTGTCATTCAGTCTGACCAGGTTCTTTCTGGAAATCACCTGTGGACCTGCTATTCTCATCTGTGGCTTAATACCACAGAGAGCAGAACTGAGCTAGGAGAGCAGAACTGAGCATTACCTGCTTTGCTGCGTATAAGTCAAAATACAGATGAACGAGGAGCTAGTCTGTGCCACAGAGTAGTTTTAAAGTATGTTTTTTTGCCAGCTTTAAGAGGTGAAATTTGTGAAGTATGTTTATATTTAAAAGTACTTATCAAAGGTCATATAAACATAAATAACAAGTTGAATTTAAATGGCAAACAGGACAGAAGAAACGCATTTGAAAAGAGAAGCAGCAACAAATACCATTTCAGACTTGGGGAGACTAGTACTACCGTCACGTATGTAAAACGGATTGTTTTTAAGGACTGTTTTGTTAATGTACAGCCGTAACTATCTGTTAAGTATCTCCCAAATGTGTTACTTCATACAGATCATGGCTTCAGCCTCACATATACTTATACAAATATATTCTATTATAATCCCCCAGTGTTATGCCAGTAACGGCTTAAAGGATGCCGGTTGCCCACAGAATTCCCACCGACGTTAGTGGAAGGGAGAGCAGGATCCTAAAATCTCCAGGGCTCTTTCCTTGGCCGTTCACTGCTGTTTTGTGCGGCAGTTTTTGTTTTCCATGGAAACCTTCCTGTCACAGCCTTTCCCTCTGCCTTCTCCTTACTAGGAATGGGTCCTTCTGCAGAGCAGCAAAATTCAGTTCAGAGAGGCCTTGAGCCATCGCAGAGCCCTCTTCACTGGCCTCTATTTCCTTGCCTTCTCCCACCACAGTGGTCTAGATCCGTATGGATTTGCTACATACAGGCCTCCGCAGAGGACAGAAGTAGCAGGCACATGCAGGGACATGCGTCTTGATCTCTGACAGAGATCTGTAAATGCCAGAACTACCCAGCGCACAAGGAAGCAAAGGAAAGGGGAGGGTTTTTTTTGTTTTTTTAAACTCGTGAAGAATATTAAAGTAAAAACGATCCAGTATAGGGTTAAAAAGCTTTTGTAAATCCTTTCTGTTAAGAGAAAGGCTCCTATTCCCTAAGGAAAAACATTTGAATCATGTAAAGAGTAAGTCATCTTTAATAAATTAAGACAACACTATTATTAGAAAACCTACCAACAGGTTTTAAGGCCTCTTACAATCTCTGACGGTGTACGTGGTTTACATACTGCAAGGCAGGAGACATTCACAGATTTCATGTCAGATTCTGGGGGAGAAAGACTGACTTAGTGCTCTTTCTAGAAAGAGCAGTCAAGTGGTATCGGTAGTACTACCATACACTTCAGTCACACTAAGACATGAGAAAAATAAGGCATTTCTGTGAATTCTAATGTATGTGTATCCCGATTATAAACCACTGTTTTCTGTCTGCAGAGGGGTGGGCAGGCTGTAGTAAAGTAATTCATTTTCATGTAAGAAAGAAACATTTTGTTTAAATCCACATGCTGTCTATAAATATTGCTTGGCTTGGTTTTCTGTTATCTGAGCAACTTAACAAGTCCAGTCGTTTCGGATGATTACACTATTGTAAATCGCAGCCTACAGACTGCAATAGCAGTATTCTCTTGGGAGACCTAATAATAACTAATAAATGGTGTTTAAGCTACTGGTAAGTACTGCTTGTGTAATTGTTTATGGTTTATGACCTATGAGATCACATTTAAGTGTAGAACATCACTTTCTCTGACGCAGTACCCTAAATTCAATAATCTCTACATAGAAAATTGTAGTGCTAGTGGACTAGATAATAAATTGGTTTGGGGGCTGGGTGTTTTTTGTTTGTTGCTTGCCAGCATGTTCTCTTCAGAGCAAAACTTTCTGTCAGCTGCTCACACGCTAACTGCTGTGACTGTAACTCTGGTAAACCCAACACAGTTCCTGGACCAGACTCAATTTTTCTGTTGCATTATCTGAAGTCTTCTCCCATGTCCCACATCCGGGATGCAAAAATTACTATTCCCTCAAGTGAAGAACTTGTTTATAAGCTGCTAACCATGCACAGCACATGTGAGCAATGCCTCCTTTCTCTGCAAGTCTTGAATCCAAAGCATGGTTTGCCTAAAGAGAGAAAAGGTATCCTTCACATAGGTACTCGTGTTTATACACAGAAGGACATGACACATACAGGAAGCAAGTTCTGAGCATAAAATTTAGGAATTCCTGATGACTGCTTCCTACCCAACAAGGGGAAGAAGGTGTTTCCTGCCTAATGAAATTGGCCTCGCATGAAATTGGTATCTATGCACATTCAGCGTCTCAATATATATCTCATATATTTACAGCTGTAAATCCCTTGTAAGTAGAGATTGCAAGCCCAGTCTGCTTTGTCAATACCTGGCAGGCTTTGGGCACTAGGGTGACCGGGGTACTGGGGAATGTCTGGATTTTGGCTGTGATCCCATTCATGTCCTGGCCTTCAGCTTCTTTTGGTTCTCTTCTCCCAGGAGGTGGAGATGCCTCTAAAGAGGACATTGTACACACATACATCGCCTAATACTGTGCTTCAGTTCCTTAGTTTCACGGGTATCACGATTCAATGCATCAAGGAGACACAGGGGACAGAATTAAGCATTTTTTTAGTAAAATGCTCTGTTTACTGAAACTCTCTCTCATCTTCCAGCCTGTATAACCTGGGATCTGATAATCCCTCTGTGCTCACAGAAGGGAGTGAAGGAGAGACCCCATCCACAAACACAAGTGCTACTGCCGCCAGAACTCCGCTTGAACAACTAACTATTCAATCACTTGAGACCTTTAGGCCACGGCTGCTTCCAGGAAGAGCCGAGGGCTGGCTGTACAGCGTGCACCTCCCTGTCCCGTGCCTACAACTGCATCCTTCATCAGGTGGCAAAGCAAACATGGTGGGGGTGAATATGTGCAGGCAATCTCATGGTGGGAGACTGCGTTTCAGCTCCTGGGCGAAACGCAGACACCTTCCCTCATGTGGAAAAACCCAGCAGCCTCTAGCAAAGCGTCTGGATATCAGTTCTTGCTTTGGGGGCAACCAGGGCAGAGCGTGGGGTCTGGTAACAGCCGCGGTAAAGGGGAAATCAAGCATCTCAACAAGAGCTGGACTCAGAATGAGGACAGGCTTTGGGATTTCAGAAGCAATAGTCATGAAAACACATGCCAAAGAGAAATCATTTGCAAAACATTCGGCGAGGTGATTCTTAACCCTCTGAAACACAAATATGGCACTATGTTCTTTATTCCAGATATAAAACCACTGTAACTAGAGCATAACTCACTACTTAAATTGTGCCTTTCTGAAAGGTATGTCACAGCTGAGGATGTAGATTCAATGACTGCCATCACTCTCATGAGCACAAGTGGTAGCAGTCAATAGGCACAAGCCTTGTTCTCCTCATATTAAATGGGCTTTCATAACTGAAGCTGATGGCAAAGTACAATCAGCCAAATATTTCTGGCCTCTAAAAAAACCAAGAATTTGCTTATTTTTCACGTTTCATCTGTAGTACATCTATAGTATAGTATAGGCTGCACAAAACAAGAGGGCTAAAGAAATAAATACCAGCAACTCCTTTATAGTATTACGTGAGCCCATCCCATCAGCTTTATACATTGAGAATTATTTCCACCATTTTAGAGGAATATGAAATATTCCATGCAAATACCCCAATTTGGCCCCATGCTTCCAGAACGCTTAGGAAACGGCATGTCAAACCCCACTGGTTTCAGTGAAACCCCATTTGCAAACAGCTTATTTCACCATCTGTCTCCACATTCTTAGTTTCTCTAATAATGAATTGGAAGGCAAATTCTCCATGAACCTTAGCTTTCCCTCTGAGGGATCACACTAGGATGGGGAATGCAAAATTCATTTTTCCTGTACATTTCCTGAGTACAACTCCACTGGGACATGCAGACCTCTCTGGGAGCCCTCACCCCTAAGACTGTTTATGTCTTTTATATAAAATAATCATAAGCCACATGGACAATATTTGGAAAAAGCACTGAAAACCCAGTCTTCCACCTCTCACGTACATTCTTTTCACAGCACTTAACAGACTCTCTTTTAATCCCTCTAACTCTACAAATCTTCAGAAAGAAGAGTGGGGACTGTACCCAGTGTGAAACAGCTCTACTGCCCTGCTAGTTCAGAGGCTCTTCTGACAGCGGGAGTCATGGATTCAACCTGTCAGGTGAAAGAGGAGACTGAGCACATACCAGGGGAAAGCACCTTAATGCCGGAGCTGTTGGAAAAGGAGAGCAGAAGCTGCAGCAGCATCCCTGCGCTGGCTGTACGTCAGATGAAGGCAGCCCTACAAAGGCCTTTTTGCAGAGGGCAGCCTGAAAGGGGGAAGCACGCACAGGGACAAGTGCTCCATCAGTGCTGACATGTTTCTGGGCACGGTCAGAAGCAGAGCTTCGGACAGCTGGGTGACCATCCAGCAGCTCAGAGCCTCCAGGATTCTGTCAGCAGCTGGGTAGGGACATGGAGGACTGCGGAGTTGGACACGCACGGTCTAAACTCGGCCCGGATCCCTTCTGGCCACCTGCTCCTCTCTGAAGACTTTGGGGAGTCTTACCAGCAGAGTGGATTTTGACCCAGCATCAGAAATATCTGACCCAGCTCGCACAGTACGGACTTGCCCTTGCAACCTGAAGGTTCTTGCTACTGCAGCCAGTATTGGAGCGGAACTGGTGATAGCATGAGCAGGTGATATTAGAGGAGGAGGAGGAGAAGGAAGAAAAGAGATCAACTGCAGACAGGAGCCCTTTTGTTATTCTTCCAGAACCTCTTCTTCTTTAAGCCGCATCTCTATTACCTTCATGACCTATTTAACATCACCCTCTACATTCAGCTTTTCCAGGTTCATATCACAACCTCGAACCAAGACACTGGACAAGCTGTTCATCAAATATAACACTTTAAAAATCCTGGCCTACCACATATGTTTCTAAGGAGATCTCAGAAAACATAACCAAAATCCAGCAGTTACAGCTATCCTCAAAATCCTCCTTTGTATTTCCCATCCCATCAACATACATAAACATATAGATTTGTCAAGCACCATTGCAGGATGCATAAGAATTACAGATGCAATTTCCTGACCCCATAAAATGAATGTGTCAAGTAACAGCTCATTTTCCAGGTCATACAGAAACAGATTCTATATTTGATTTCGTCCTAAATACCACACATCAAATTTGACCAAGTAGTAATTACAATTGCGCCACTAAGAAATAATCACCTCCCAGGCATAGTTAGTAACACCACCTTCCCTGGAAGCAGATCCCCACCTGCCTCCTCCCCATCCAATCCAAAAAAAACAACCAACCGACCAAAAAAAAAAAAAAAAACCACACCCACCACCACAACCACTAAGGCCCTGTGATATTAATCTTAAAAATGAGGTGTGGAAAACAAGCATGTCAGTCAGAAAGAAGGCGTTCATTTAAAAGCAGTAAAATTCACCTGCAGATCTGCATAAGCTACTTACTGAAACTGGAAAAGAAGCACTAGAAGAAGAAAAACTGTAACTGGAAGAACATGACAGAAAGCTGAAGGCACAACAGGTTATCTAAATGGTACATGCTGCCAAAGAAGGAGCCTTCCACAAATGACGGTTGAAACTCCAGGGTGCCCCAGGGTGGGCCAACACCAGAAGCATCCACTATAGCAGGCCCTCTGTCAAAAGGGCCATCGGAGCAAAGCTTTAAAGGGAATGACTTGACCAGAAAAATCACAAATGGATGGAGGCAGCCATCCTAACACGCAAAGAGTTTTCCATCAGCAAGTATATTTTTGTTTTCCCAACTGTAGGGCTACCCAAGACTAAGTAGTCACCATTTGAAAAACTTAAAACAAATAAATAAAAATTAAAAAAAAAAAAAAAAAAGGACACACACACACACCCCACCAGCCCTTCCAGGCTCTGCTCAGGTAGGGACAACACCAGCACGTCCTCCGTTCTTAACGGAGCTTTCCCTTTCCTGCCAGGTTGCGTAGATTAGCGATATTTGTCACACTTTAACTATATCAATGTGCAAATCCTTAATGTAAATACAAGTCTCAGAGAGTTTTTTGTCAGGAATTTAGAGCATGTTAGTATTAATTCCGCTAATGCAAATTCTCATCTCGACGAGTGCACGCACAGGGCAGCGTGGCGGGTCGGCACCGCCCCTCAGACGCTGGTCTCAGGCAGAAGAGCCAGCATCGAAGAGCAGGGCCGGGCACAGCCTGACCATTACCGTCATATATATATATATATATGTATATATTTACGCACACACACAGAGCACACCCCATACACATACCCATTTTAAACAATAGTTTATGTTATAAAAATAGCACAACTGGAAAAACCACCGTACATGCACACATGTGGGGGTGTGCCTTATAAAAAATTTCTAGTAGTTAAGCAAAAGCTAAAGGGTAAATGCTAATTTCACTTGCTGAAATGTAAAACCTAAAGCCGCTAATGAGCTATGAAGAGCTATTCAACAGATCGTCTCTTAAAGGAAATGTTGAACTGGTTTAGGGCCATCTCGAATATCTGGGGAAGAGTGAAAAGAGTCTGATGTTTTTGAAGTTTCATGGAATTTTGAGAAATCCAGACATCTGCATTTTAATCTTTGGAAAATCCTGAGA